TATGCAGCTGCCTGACTTCCTGAGAGTATGTCCAATCCATCGCCACCGCCTTCTTCCTACCTCATCTCTGACTGGGATCTGTCTTGTTTTCCTTAACACTTCCACATTGGTGACCCTGTCTGTCCATCTGATCCTCAGTAACTTTCTTAGACACCTGTACAATGCTGAGTGTTATATTTTGTATTTAACTTAAAATTTTGTTTTATAAAATTTACTCATTATATCTGAATAATGTATATTCTAATGTACTAGGTCATTGAGTGCTGTGCTTAAGACTCAGGTTGAGTATCTTTTTAAAACTAACTTAATGCACTGGGTGGTGTATTTTAAACTTAAGATAGCTCCGAACACTGAGTGCTGTATATTTGATAATAACTTGAGATAAAGAGTGATATATTTTTTAATGAACTTGAGTCACTGAGAGATATTTTTTTGAGAGAGAAGGTAAGAAACATCTCAGAATTCTGTTTACAACAACAAACTTAAGGTTGTGTTTCTGTGTGGTCCTCCCTCCAGCCTCCCCATGGAAGAGTTTGCCAGCAATGAGGCCATCCAGTGCACAGAGGTCTACGAGTATGCGCAGGTCTTGGGGAACCCAAACTTTTGTCTGACACACTTCCAGGTGAGCACTCTACTCCTACACCACTCTCCTCTGTGTGGATGGTTGGCGGGTCATCTTTATCTCCCTTCTTTCTTTTTTGTGTTTGTTACTCTCTCGTAACACCTCTAATCTTCGGCACTTATACGACCTTATTGTGTTGCAAGTTCTGTAAAATACTTTAAAAAAACAACTCTCCTCTGTCTCACCATTGTGTGCCTTTTTGTTGTCCTCTGCACTTCCAGGTGAGTCCTCTACTCCTGAATTACTGTCCCTTGTAATCGTCTCATCACTGTGAGCTCTTTACTTCAACACTACTCTAGTGGGTTATTAAAGGGCGCCGCTGGTAGGTCCTACTTCTTTTCTTTCCCTCTGTCACACTGAGTTTTGCAGAAGGGTTCAAGGGATTCAACTGCTGTAAAAACTTCCCTACACTCTCCTGTCCTTCTATTTTACATTTTCCTTGCACGGATTTACCATTGTTTTGTGACTGTCCTTCTCTTTACTGAACAGAGACCTTTGTCCCCTCAACTTTCTCATCATTGTGTTCCTTTGTGTTGGCCTTAGCACATGAACGGTTGTGCAAATGAGAGACAGAAAGTCATATACATTTATAAAAGTTATCCTTTCTTTGGAGCAATTTTTAGTGGAAGAACAATATGTCGCTGGATCGATTCTGTAAAGTACACCCTCAAAACTCACAAGTTAAGCCTCCTCTAAGTCCTGGTCTCACAGAAGATGTATGATTGTTTTTCCTTGCGACACCCACCAGTACCATGGGAAGGAAAAGGTAAAAGTAAAGAAGCAAAGAGTTACAATAATTGGAATAAATTGAGCATGCGCATTGCTGAGAACAGGTTTTAGACGGGTTAAATGTTGTTGTGGCACGTTCTGTGTGGGGAAATATACCCACTTGATTACTTGAACCATTCCCCTCTGTTCCACAGATATACAAGTACCTGTATGCCTGTAAGTTAGCTGACTATGGAATGGTCTCTGAGGTAAGGCACAGTCTGTACTGTATTGACGCAAAATAATCAGCTAGCTTCCTTTTGGAAGGTTTTGCAAATTCTGATTAATTTTATTTTACTGTTTGGTATTTCAAATGCAAGAATTAAATACTGATTCTTCTTTGGCCTTTCTATATTGGTATTTTCTACAAATAACTGTCATAAAGAATTTAAGCAGATGGGGGATGGGAAATATCTGGATAATGTTGTTGGGTTTTTCTTAGGAGCATCTGGGTGGAGGAGTGAGTAGCAAACTATGATCACTGGTGTATGTTTCAGTTCTGGATCTTGAAAAAAAAGAAGATTTAAAAAAATGTATCTGTTGATGTATTTGAAAGGAAAGAATTTAACACAGATTCTTATTTATTTTCCGTGTTTAGGTGAAAATGAACCTTTACAGTGAAGTGATTTCCTGAGACTTTTTAGACAGGTCTGAATGTCATAAATGGGTTGGATAAATATCAGACATGTTTGTAGAAAATAACAAACAATATATGTGCATAAAGGCGACGTGGAAAGGAACTGGCCACCCTACCACATTATGCTGAAGGCCCAAGAAGTTGTTTCACTACAAGGCTATCCCCAGTGTCCGGATCGGATGCAGGAACCACTTTACTTTACATGTGCATAATAAATAACCAACAAACACATGCATAATAAGCAATAAACAGACATGTGTATTGTAAGTAACAAACAGACCTATGTGTAATAAGTAAAAGAGTAGACAAACAGACACGTCTAATGAGTGTGAGTAACAAACGCACTCACACGTAAAATAAATGACAGACGTGTGTATTATAATCCTTTGCATTATTTTTTATTATAGTTGTTCTGTGCCTATGTCTGGATCAAAATAGTCTGTGTGTGTGTGTGTGTGTGTGTGTGTGTGTGCATAAATATATATTGGATGAGAAGAAAGGAAGTAGTGAGAAAGGTTTTTGAAAATGGGTATTCCAATGTAAAGCGCATTGAGCTACTTTTTTGGAAATGAGCTGTATAAATGTTATATATTATTATTATTATAAATAGCAGACATACATATAATAAATAACAAACAGACATATCTACAGCAAGTAATGATCAGACACTTGTATAATAAATTACAACAGACACTTGTGTAATAAATAACAAACCAACATTTGTGCAATAAATAAAAAAAATAGGCACATTAAACTCCTAACCCGTCGTGTGTCTTCACAAGAAGAAAGCAAGCTAAGTTCATTTCGAATTTTATTTATATAAATTTGTTTCGTTGTCTAACTGAATGGAATTGTAGTGAAATACGTATTGTCTATGTTGCTAACTGTGTATTGTCTAAGTGGTTTACTCTGTTTTATCTTTGTAGTTAACTATGTGTTTCTTGTATGTGTTTTTTTCAGGCCCTTCTGTACTGTGAAGTGATCGCGGCCACCCTGCAGCAATACCCCACCTGGTTCCAGCCTGCCTTTGTCAAACTGGTCTATCAGGTACGCTTAAATGGTCTGTGGGGAATGATTAAATGGTCTGTCATGCATGGTTAAATGGTCTGCTCTGTGGTATGGTAAAATGGCCTGTCGATAATTGGTAGGATAAAATGGTCTTTCAACTACGTTAACATGATACATCAGTAATCAGGTTGAGTTAAATGGTCTATCAGGTACGGTTTAATGGTATGTCAGGTTCATTTAAATTGTCTGTCAGAAAGAGTTCATCCACCCTTGAAGAAGTCTTTGAGGCAAAATGCTGTTTTAGCACCAGAACTATTTACATTTATCCTTTGAGCAAGACTGTGCACCTGAACTCCTGTGCTGACTGCTAGTTATATGTCACTGTTCTCTTGAGTTGGTAGTTGGGTGCTCAGGTGAGTGAAAGTTGTCACACTGAGGTATGCACGGGGGTTCAGGAGGTTCAACTGTCGTAAGAACTTCCCAACACTCTCCTGTCTTACTCTGCTGTTTTGTGCTGATGCTTTTTCTCTCCTTTGGAGCATATCAAGGAAGTCAAGATCAGAAGGGAGAGAAGTTGTACTCGGGCAGTCTGCTTCCTCTGTTTTCTACCATGCAAAGTTATTTCATGCGTACTACTTTAAGATTGTCTGTCAAGACGATAAGGGTCATCATGTGTCGATGATGTTTCTAATTTCCCCTTGTCCTCTGAACCCTCCAGCTGTCGAGCAAGCTCAAGTACTCCGACCCCCAGCGGCTGCATACCAGCGAGGACGCAGAGGACCCCATGTGGCTCCAGCAGTTGTGGAAGATCTGTGCCGCTTATGACGTGAGTTTGTGTGTGTGTGTGTGTGTGTATGTGTCTGGCATGTGGGGTGAGCCGTGCAGCTTGGTAGGAGGCTCCATTGTTTGTGACATGGTTGTTGCTCTTGTTCTAGTACAGGCCATGTTTGTGTGTAACCAATGATAGTACATAACAAGATGGGCCACTCAGCCAAAAAAGTGTCCGCAGGAAGTATGCTCTTTGCTTCAGATGGCGCTGCAGTCTGTTTTGAAGCTCTCTTTCGTTTTTCCAGAAAAAGAATGGGGAATAGCACCTCCTTGCGTGGGCAGATCGACTGCTGTTCATCAGCAGTTCGGGTTCGTTCAGTACAGAGTTTTAGTTTTTTAAAATTTTAATGACCTCTCGCCTTTCACTCTAAAGTCAAATTAAACAAAGAAAACCATCACCCTTTCCTCCGGAAGAGGTTTTTTGTCAGCGTAATCATTTTAAAAAAGCGTTCTTCCGAAATTTATCCCAAGACTTGCTAGTTTCACTTTGATTTTTTAAAACTCAAGTAGGGTAACTCTGTTCGCAAAGAGTGCGCTTTTGTGAAGAGGGCGCCACCAAATTTTGAGGACACTTTTTTAATTGGCTCAAAGAGAGAAGTGGCCCATCTTGTTATGTACTATCATTGGTGTAACGTAGTTGCTGATGTTTTAGTTCAGTTCGTTGTTCTTGATGTGATTATTCATGTTTTATTACAGTACATGATTGTGACATTGCTGATGTTTGAGTAAAGTCCATCGTTTGTTGTGATATGGTTGCTTGTTTTAGCGCAGGCCATGTTTGTGACGTGCTTGTTCATAGTTTTAAGTTAGTTAAGGCCATTGAAACGAACAAGCACTTCACGTGCCCTATATCAACAGGATGGCAGTATCCAGCCAGTGTCGGGTCACGCCACGCCGGCCCTGTATGGAGCGACCGCCACCACCGCCAGTAGTGAGAGTGGAGAGGTCAACCCGTATGCATATAACTATACCTCTGACCCTGCCCATGTGACTTCTGGGGCTGACCCCTATAACCAGCACCAGGTGAGGGAAAGGACAAGGTGACACTGGCAGTTTGACAACTGAAAACCTAGAATCTGACAAAATAACATCATATTGTGTTGCCTTTTGGGAGACAGACATTTTTTAAGCTAAACCTTCTTTTCTATGTTTGTACATTAATTGACTGCTCATAGACAGAAATTTACGGATATACTGAAGTCGAATCTGTTAAAAATCACTGTGATTGAAATTTTAACATACTAAGTTTTTTTCTTTTGAACAGCAAAATATTGTCCTTTGTTTTCTTTTTTAGTCTTTAGTTTACTTGAAAATCCTGGTTAGAAAAAGACATTTTAATAAACTTTGTGCAGACGCTGTTTTCTTTCTTCAGTGCTCATGCCCACCTTCATATTTCTTTCTGTGGATTGTTGGCAGGGGGGGGGGGGGTTGTCGCAGTTAGGTTCTACTTCTTTATTTTCCCCTCCATTGATTCTGTCTTGTCTGTCCTGCTTTTTCCTCATCACTAAATGACCTTTATTGTGTCAATGTGTAGGCGGTTGATGGGTGCTCTGGTGTGGTTTGCTCCTTCTTTCCAATCAAACCTCTATCATCCTAATCTCTCCTCCTTTTCTGTGTTTGTGATTTACATAACACTTCTAATCTTTGGCACTTATATGACCTTATTGTGTTGCAAGTGCTGTAAAACTATTACTAAAACAATTGTGTCAATGTGCTTCTGTTTACTCATTTTAAACTTTTTTCTTTCTCTCACTTTCCTCTCTCTATCATCCTGGCGAAAAGACCCCAGCCCAAGCCACAGACAACAGCTACTACGGTCATCAGAGCGGAGACGTGCAGTCGGGAGTGGACGCCACAGACTCCAGTCACTACACACAGCAACAACCACCACAACAACAACCACAACAGCAACAACAACAACAACAACAGCAACAGCAGAATGCCCAGACACAACACTATGACCCCAGCCAGTGGCAGCAATATGGTGAGCAAGCACCACTTTCTTTTCAAATATTTTTTTCTCTTTTTTTTTCTGCCACAAACTCTTGGGATGCTTGGTTTGGCCTTTCTTGCTGCGGTTTCTGTACCATGTTTGACCTCCAGCAACATTTGATAATGGCAGGCTATCCTTTGGTGGCTGCTGGGATTTAGTGGATTGTGAGATGGTGGGTGGTGGGGTTTCTCCTAATACAAACAGATTCGAGGAAGAAGACAAATGAAGTATTCCTCATATACAGTAGTGTTTAAATAAAAATCCTGAATGTTTCCCTGAAGCCATATTGGCCTCAGATGTAGTAAGTCAGAAATGGACATTTGACGGCTATAGGTGGCTGCCAGAGCTGTTAAAGTACTTTTAAAAAGGTACTTAAGTACAAATGTAAGTACAATCTAAAATATGTACTTAAGTACAGTAAAAGTACTTTCCTGTAAAATGTACTTGAGTACAAGTACTTTTTAAAAAAGTACTTATGAGTACATTTTGAGTACTTTCTGCTAATATGCTAAAACACTTCAAAATGCAAAACATCATATTGAATAACATATCTAGTATATTTGACAAATTCGGCCATTTATTACTAATAATGTAAACAGTATACAAAGCATTTGAATATACGCACTGAACGTAGGTGGAAATTGTCCGTGAAATTGAAAAAAAAACCCAGCAAACAAACAGACGCAACTAGTGAGTAAGTGATATTATGAATAGAATTTGTTTGAGCAAGACAATATGATCTAATGTAAGTCAGTCCTAGAGGTCGGAAAGTAGGAAAAGTATCAAAATTGGAAAATATAGAGACAAAATTGACCTAAGAAAATAAAAAATTGATGAAAATGGCCAGCAAAAAAAAAAGTGCTTTGAATTCTTTAACAAATCCTCAAGGAATCAAGGTAGTCTTAAGCACAAACCACAAAAAAAAGGAAAAAAGAAATTTAGGTAGCCTAAAAAATTGTTAGATTGATATACATTGAGAACTCAGTTTCAGTTTCAACTGATTATAATAGTGGTAAGACAGAGTTTGGTCACACTGTGTAGTCCACGGCGCCCACGGCAAACCAAAATAGGCCTACATGTAATTTCCTAGAGTCTAGTAAGTGTAGTGTAACCAAAAATTCTCTACTACAGTAGTCTCCGCCTAAGATCCCAGTGCTCGGGAGCAAGGGAAATATGGGATCTTAGCCCGACGAAGCTAAGGAAGAATCTACAGTGACCCAAGAACTGACGTGACCCCTGGGTAGGTTTATGACATATGGCGAGCAAAGAGTGGTCATCCTTGGTGACCAATCACAGTAGCATGGTGGCATGAGGCAAGCCATAATATTATACCGTACACTCATTAGCATATCGTCTCGAGATCTTTATCTACGTTTATCCAGTTGCCCCTCCCCTTTACCTGTCCAAAAATTGTAGCCTTCCATTTCTTGATTGAGTCCCCCCGCCTTTGTCGTTACGTACCATTACGCTGTGACCACACCAATTAAAATTCCATCTGTCTCGCAATTTCGGGAATAGAGAAAAACTGCCTTCAACTTCAATGGTCAGGGAAGAGTTCACAGTTCGATGTGATCCTGCCTGGGGCGAACTTGTAGGCCCAACCCACCCAGCGAGGGATGAAAGTTCAGGTGGCGAGCTCAGATGCGAGTGCGATGTTTGGGGAAAAGAAACGCCCATCGGTCTGTTCACACCTCGGTGTGATCCCGTCTGGGGATCATTGTACTTGTACCGTTTCATGGAGTTTTACAGCACATGTGATCACTTTCACAAGAGTGGCTGATCTTTGACGCGACGGGCAGTTCTTTGATCTCAACTTTTAACTCTTGGTTGATCGGCTGTGCCCGCCCGGGTGTTTGTTCCGTAAATTATGATCGGAAATGTCGGCGCTTATTCTTTCATTAAGCTTCAAAAGTACTCAAAATGTACTTGAAAAGTACTCAAAAGTACTTTTATAAAAAGTATCGGAGTACAGTAAAAGTACTGATTCTCAAAATGTACGGGAGTACAGTAAAAGTACCGAAAATTGTAACGTAAGTACAAGTACCGGAGTACTTGTACTCCGTTACAACCAGCTCTGGTGGCTGCAAGGTGTATTTGGTAGATTCTGTTTCATTCCTTTCCCATTTGAGGACAGGGGCAGCTTGATTCGAAGAAACTTTCACACTGTTTGAGATTTGACATTTTCTATTCGTTCAGTTCCTTGTTGCTTGATGGTCAAACATTTTGCTTGATGGTTGAACATCTTGCTTGATGGTCAAACTTGCACATTACTAAATCTCTTTTTCTAATTACTACTGGAGTGGAATTTGTCTATGATGTATTTATGCTTATGTAAGTTGACATTTTGGCTTCTTTTTTTTTTTTGAGGGGGGGGGGGAGGACAGGATAGTATCATGGCAGTCACTGACTAACTTTAACTTTGCTGCTTTACAGGATGAGTTAAAAAACATTGGAGTTACTTATTTTTTTTGCAAAAGAGTGAAATAATACAGAGAGGGTTGTGGGATAATAGGGATAATACAGAGAGGGCCTTGAGATAATAGTGAGGACTGTGGGATGATAGAGAGGACCATGGGATATTAGAGGGCCCTAGGATAGCGGAGAGAGGGTCGTGAGATAAGAGTGGATCATGAGATAGTTAAGTAATAAAGAGAATGCTGTGACGTAATAGAGGGCTATGAGATAATACAGTGAGGACCATGGGATAATAGAGAGAGGGCCTTGGGATACAGAGAGGGCTTTGCGCATCTAATGCAGATTACATTCACTTATGATCAGTCTGGGTGTGTAGAAGGACACGTGTTGACCAAGTGAAGTCACTCACAAACTCTGTTTGACAAACGCTAATCAAGACAGACACATAAAGATCTAAGCATGTAGTGAGACTTGATTGAGGTTAAAGCAAAAGATATTCAAATGCATGGAATAGAACGACTTGTTGTGGAGGCATGTGAAAAAGATACATAGAGGTACTTAACAAAAATTCCAATAGCCTCAATATGCCATGATAGGTTGTATATGTATCCTGACTTGTCTCCCCTCTCTCCCATAGTATAGTGTGTATCTCGACTTGTTTTCCTCAGTGGTAGATTCTTTTAGAATCAAGACTTGTCTCACCTCTCGTGTTCGCCTTCTTGTATTTTTCTGTTTCTCCTTCCTTTGGAAATTTTCTTCCTGCATGTGAGGTTGTGTGTGTGTGCGTGCACGTGGGTGTGTGTTCACGCAGGTGTGTGTTCAGGCAGGTGTGTGTTCAGGCATGTGTGTGTTCAGGCATGTGTGCGCGCGTGTTTGCACACATTATGTATGTCCGTGTAAGTGTGTACGTGAGGTTGTCTTATGTGCGTGTGTGTGTGAGTGTGCTCTCAGGCGCATCATTTTCTCATTTCTATCCTCTCTGTACCCTAAACCTGGATGTGTGTAGGCCAACAGTTTTCTGGGTATACTGAGCAACAACAGCAGCAGCAGCAGCAGCAACAGCAGGATTATGGTGGTGGAGACCAGCAGGGTTACTATCAGTCACAGCAGCCGCAGCACGATGCGGTGGGACGACAGCAACAGCAGCAGCAGCCTGATCAGCATTACGACCCAGCGTCATACGGGAACTATTACGGCCAGCCCCCTACATCCTCGGCAGATGGTAGGACAGGGGATGCCACTCTTGATTACATTTTCTTTATCTCTTCGAAGCTTGAAGACCATAATGGAAAAACCCACTAAAGTCAAATTGTTAGGTTTAGAGAGAATCTGATCGCAAGGGCTAGAACACACTGTACATAGGTTGAGAGAGAATCTGGATGCAAAGTTTCAAACACATTGTACATAGGTTTAGAAAGAATCTAGTTGCAAAATTTCAAAAGGCTGTACATAGGTTTAGAGAGAATCTAGTTTCAAAATTTCAAACACACTGTACGTAGCCTGGTTTTGAGAGATCTAATTCCAAATTAAAAACCTACTGTACTTTGATTGTTTTTCTATTGTAAAAATGTATGTATAACTTAAGACTGAGCCTGTTGCTCGGTCTGCCAATTTTTTTGAGTTACCTATGCAAGGAGTGCACATGCTGAAGGCATTAACCTAATTATTTTCTATATTTTTGTGATTTTGGTCACTTTTCCATTTTGGTCTTCTTTCGCCTTCCTTTTTCATTATCACTTGGGCTGCACAAAGGTTTTTGCTTTTCTCGGGTATTTTAGATGCTTGGCTCAGAACTTGTATTTCTCCTGTATCAAAAGTATTGTGCTTTCACCATGTAGCTGGAAGAAATATGTCAACTTTTTTCATTCTGTAACCATTACTGAGGTCACTATGTGGGTCCTCGATAAAAAACAGGAGTCAGCTTGCTCTGTGAATAATACAAAAATGCCATGGGCTATTTTTGTGTCTTCTCTCATCATTTAAATCAGAAAGTTTTTCCTTCTTTTTTTGGGGGTCAAAATTTAAAAAAAATTATTTTTGTCTGTTAAAAAAATGTTCAAGAAACCAGTGATAGGGTTAGAGCATAACATCATCATAAGCAGAGTTTTGATCTGAAAAACTTTGTGACAAAATAGGCTATCATCATTTCTTAAACTTCCACTTTTTCCCCAATCAGATTGCTAGCCAGATCCTAAATCTTTATTGTTTTAAAATATGTAACAAAACTGGCTGTAACCAATGATTTTCTACTGCATGGATTCTGTCTTTTTTAGTTTCTCATTTTGCCTGATTGTATTTTCAACCATTGTGTCTTCTGTTAATTTTTTTTTGGCCAAGAAATATTTACATTGGAAAATTATTTCAGGTTTGGGGGTTTTTTTCTGGAGGATGAGAAGGGGAGTGTCGTTTCTTTTTCATATTGATTATGAAACTTAGATAATTCTCATTTTTCTTGTCTTGTATTTTTGTATCATGTACACTTTGGTTAATGTTTGCTTCTTTCATGTACGCTAAAACGTACGTTTAATCTTGCGCTAAAACGTATGTTTAATCTCAGAACTGTGTCAGAGGGTGGTTGGGGGGTGCCACTGATAGGTCGTATATCTTTTCTGTCCTTCCGTAGGTTCTGATTTGCTCCTCCTCAGCACTAAATGACTAATCGTGTCGATGTGCTTCTTTTTACTCTTGACTATATTAGACCTGCATGTTTGCCAACAATCGTCTGAAATCCCACAATCGCGACCCGACCCGCGAGCCGGCCGATGCTATCGCTAGGCCCACCTGTATTAGTCAATGTGCGTAGTGCAAGGCCTGGCCGGCTGCCAGCTCCCCCTTTTTCTCCCATCGGCTTTGTCGGCACTTTCATTTTCGTGGCGACGTCGGCGTTTCCGACATAATTGTCAGAACCTGAGTAGAAATGCGAATACGAAAAAGGACGACGACCTAAATTATCTACTTTCAGTTTCGTGCTCGAGTGGCCATTTTGATTTTTTGTTTGTTGACTAATTCAATTTTTCAGATCGTGTGGATTCATTCAAGTCCGACTCACTTGTTCTAATAGAATCTAGATGTAGATTTATATAGGTCATTATAGACCTCAATGGAGGATTCATATTCCAATTCTATAGTGTCAAACCCTATCATAGGTTGTGCTGTAATATTAATGTTGGTAAAAAGCATTTCATCAGGTACGTGAATTATTTATTAGTATTAGATCTAGATTCTAGATAATCTATAGATCTATATAGAATTTAGATCTAGACTCAGCTGAGTCCCTTGTTCGGAATCGGGTGCGGATTTCTAGTTCAAGGCGAAGGTCTATTCCTATTCACTTGTTCTACAAGATCTAGTTGCGCAAAATTTTCAGACAATCTGGTTGAGGCTCACATGCAGGTCTACTATATAAACTAGGAGGGTTATTCCCAGATGAACAGCTGACTGACCTTTTGCTCAGCCCACACGCTCATCCCCCTCACCCCACCCCAACCGGTGTTGTAAGGGTTAACTTTGTGGATGGGGACACAGAGCATTACCAACTGCAACTGCCCCCTTCTCCTTAGGAATGAACATAGAGCATTACCAACTGCAATTGTCCTCTTCTTCTTAGGAATGAACATAAAGCATTTATTACTAATTGCAATTCTCCCCTTCTCGTTAGGAATGAACATAGAGCATTTCCAACTGCAATTGTCCCCTTCTCCTTAGGAATGAACATAGAGCATTTATTTCCAACTACAGTTGTCCCCGGGGGCTCTCTTGGCCTCGAGGTTAAGGTGTTGGCCTCTCATTCAAAGGTCCCAGGTTCGAATCCGGGTAGCAACCGAAACATTTTCTTCTCTAAAATTGTCTCCTTTCACCTCCTTTCCTGCTCTCTAGCAATATTCTGTTGTCTGCTGTCGTCTCCTCTTTCTGCCCCCACCCCATCACCTCCTTTGCCCCCTCCTCTGGGCTCCTGACTTTTTCTGCAGCCTTTCTACTGCTACTCCTTGAATCCTTCTTACAGCTGTCTATCTGCCACACCCCTGATTTTCTGGTAGGAAAGATCTACACCTAGCCTTCTTGGACAAGGGCGAAAAATCTCGGAGGGCCCGTGTGCAAGTTGCGCACGTTAAAGATCCCTTGGTGGTCTAAAATCGATAAGAGTAGGCTTCGGCCGCCACCCAGGCAAAATTCAAAATTTTCTACCAACTAAAAGTATTAGGTGTGTCCCGAGCGCTCATAGGACCTTATGCAGTTGCGAGCGCCGTAAAACACTTACCCCCCCAAAAAACAAAAAAAACCCCAGTTGTCCCCTTCTCCTTAGGAGAATGAACATAGAGCATTACCAGCTGCAATTGTCCCCTTCTTTTTGGAGGGGACATAGAACATTTCCAACGACAGGCTGTCCTCTCCTCCTAAGGAGGGAAGATAGAACATTTCCAACTACAGCTGTCCCCTCCTCATAAGGAGGGAAGATAGAACATTTCCAACTACAATTGTCCCCTCCTCCTAAGGAGGGAAGATAGAACATTTCCAACTACAATTGTCCCCTCCTCCTAAGGAGGGAAGATAGAATATTTCCAACTACAATTGTCCCCTCCTCCTAAGGAGGGAAGATAGAACATTTCCAACTGCAGCTGTCCCCTCCTCCCACAGGTCAGCTGGACTCCTCGTCCTCGTCCACACAGCTGAGCGGTCAGCTTCATCACTCCCAGAACTTCAACAACTTCGCCGTTCCCGCTGTACCTCAACAGCATCAGCAGCATCAGCAACCGCAGCACCAGCAGATGCAGCAGCGCGGTAGTATCAGCACCGCGGATGAAGAGGACGACGACGACGATGATGATGATGATGAGAGAGACGGAAGCACCATGGGATACTCAGCCACAGGGTTCGATTACTTTGGCAATGTGGGGGCGCAGGTAATTTGAACTGTAGTCTAGTATGTTGTTGTTGTTGTTGTTGTTGTTGTTGTTGTTTGTGTGGTTAGCTGTGGGATCTGGTAATATAGACTCTGACTGCTGGGTACTTGGGTCTGTTATTGTTGTTTGGCATTGTTGTGATTGTAAGTTACTAGCGAAGAGTCTGATCAGTTGTTGTTGCTTGTGACGGTAAGGTGGTAGTGTTGTTGATAGCGCCGTAAAACAAATAAGCCAGCCATCTAACCGATCACAAATGGCAAGGGGAGTTTCCTGTCTTTCCCTTTTCACCTGTAGTCTACAGATAAAGCGTTTGTCTGTTGGTCTTACTAAAAGCATACAAGTTATTTACTAGTTTTGTCTGTGTCTCACAAAAGTATGCAAGTTATATTAAAAATTTTACTTTTGTGCCTCACAAAAAGATAACAAAATTTTGTACAAGTTTTGTCTCTAATCTCACAAAAAAGTGTACTAGTTCTACCCAAGTTTTTGTCTTTGATCTCATAAAAAGTGTACAAGTTCTTATATCTCACAAAAAGTATACAAATTCTATCATATGTCTCTCAAGAAGTATACAAGTCCAAGTGCTATACAAGTTTTGTCTCTGTTTTACAAAATGTGTACAAATTATATACAAATTTTAATTTTGTCAGTGTCTCACAAAAAGTGTACAAGTTCTATACAAGTTTTGTCTCTGTGTTTCACAAAAAGTATACAAATTGTATACAAATTTTGTCTGTGTCGCTCAAAAAATACAAAGTATAAAGTTCCATACAAGTTTTGTCCTGTTTTCCCCAGCAGGTGGTGGCACCCCCCCACCGTTACCGCACATTGTCCAACAGCTCCACAGGAAGTGGTCGCCAGCGAAGACGCAGGACGACCTCAGGCAGTAGCACTGGCAGTGTCAAGGCCGCACCGCCTAAGGCCACGAACGCAGGGGCAAACACTGCTGCAGCACCACCTAGAGGGGATGATAAGGTAGGGAGTTGAACTAGAATTTGGGAAGGGCAGTGTGTGTGTGTGTCTGTGTGTGAGTAGTGTGTGGTGTGTTTATGTGTTTGTGTGTGTGTGCATACGTCTGTGCTATAGTGGTTTGGCTCTTCGCTGCTGATCATAGAACTCATGATGGGTGGTTGGCAGGTGCTCTGGTGTGGTTTGCTTCTTGTTTCCTATCAAATATCTATCGTCCTTATCTCCCCTTCTTCTTTTTTATGTTTGTTACTCTTTTGTAACACCTCTAATCTTCTGGCGCTAATATGACCTTATGCAGTTGTGAGCGTCGTAAAACCTATACTAAAAAATAAATATAAAAAAAATAGAACTTATGAGTTTGATTCTTGCTTTGGGAAGTTTATTTACCAGATAGGTCCTGATTGACAAGGTTGAAGCAGCCTGCCTCCTGGTCGGTCTAGATTGTGTGTGTGCGTTTTGTTGTTGTTGTTGTTTTTTGGGTTGTTGTTTTTTTAAAAAGAGGACGGATACCATCCACTAGAGATAATTGAGGCTACTTAAAGCTACATCAACTTCTATAACATCTGTCTTGCTTTGTACTCAAAGCACAAGGCCAAAAAGTCAGGAACAGATGCTACGCTTTGATCTAGCCAAAAGGCTGAGAAGCGTCTAGATTGTGTTAATAGCAGCATAAAACACAGACTCATTTATTGCTATCTTTTGGGGGGGGGGGGGAAGAAATGTGAATACGTTGTGATGTAAAAGTAACACCCGTGGTTTTTCCTTTTGTTTATAACACTGACGTGAGCTGAAGTTTTTCCTCGTGTTGTCATCAACAGAAGCAGAAACAAGGAGACGGAAAAGGATGGTTTGGGGGGATCTTCAGCAAATTTTCTGCTAAAGGCAAAAATGAGATGATCCTACCAGATGACAAAGACCCAGCGGTGAGTTGCATACGATAAAGATCCCTTGGTGGCCCAAAATCGATAAGAGTAGGCTTCGGCCGCCACCCGCGCGAAATTCAAAATTTCCTACCAACTGAAAATGTTTAATGTGTCCCGCGCGCTCACATGATCTAATGAAGTTGCAAGCGCCTTAAAACAATTTAAAAAAAAAAAAAAAAGACCCTGTGGTGAATAAAAAAATTAGTTTTATTTTATTTTTATAATAGAAAACGTTGTTATTTGTAGTAAATAAAATCATATTGTCATGGAGTTGTTACAGAAAGCATTGTCTCTCGTAAATGTGATGTAGAATAATGTTGTAAGCATAGATATTTATATTGATAACATTATATAATAGAATTACTTCACAATAGAGTTGTATTGCTGTGGTAAATGCAGAACTGTATTGTTAACAGTATATTGTATAGTTGGATTGTCAAAATTTTACGATGGAATTATATTGTCTAAACTGTATAATAGAGGTAGATTAGAAGAAAAAATTAGAGTAATGCTGTTCTATCTTATGGTGGAGAGCATAATTGTGTCGATGTGCTTCTCTTCAAACAAACGGGATAAATTTTCCAATCCTTAAATGACAGTTATCATGTTGGTGTGCTTTTTAAAATCTCAAACAAACAAAACACAAAGTGATATTTCCATCTTGTCTGTGCAGATTGTGTGGGATCCGGTGAAGAAGAAGTGGATGAATGCTGATGGGACAGAGGATGAGGTAGCCAGCGCAGCCCCCCCTCCTAAAGATGCTGATCTCATGGGTGAGTTGCCTCTCATGGGTGAGTTGCCTCTCATGGGTGAGTTGCCTCTCATGAGTGAGTTGCCTCTCTGGGTGGCCTAGGGAAAAATAAATCAAACTTTTCTGCTCAAAACTGTACTTTAATCAAACTTTTCTGCTCAAAACTGTACTTTAATCAAACTTTTCTCCTCCAAACTGTACTTTTTTCGTTTTTGTACCATACCCTACCCCATTTTATTGACATAAAAGTCTTGAAGCCTCTTGCTCGCTTTGGGAAAAATAGAAGGCAGAAAGGGCATAGATAAATGACGAATAAGTGGCCAACAGATGTGTGATGGAAAAGATAATAATATAGCTTTTTTTTTTCCGAGCGTCGGAGCAGTGAAGTGATTGGCAAACCAAAATGGCTGATGTCTCCATTTCTGATCTGGTACTTGAAGAAGAAGACCCTCTTGTAGAAAGTGTCTCTAAGACTGTTCTTTGGTGTGACAGATTTTGAGAGTAAACTTTGAAAGTAGTCTGTGCGAAAAGCAGTAACTCAATAATTTGAAGTTTGTGACTTCGTGGTGTTACTTTGTAGTCGCTGAAGGCTAGGTTCAAATCCCAGTCTAGTTCTAACGTTGTTCCTGGGATAGGCCCTTGGCGCGAATTTTTCTCACTTTACTTAGGTGAGAATGGGTACCCAGGTGTCTGCATGTTAGTGTTTGAGCTATGACAGTGAAAGATCTTGTCAATTTGAACTAAGACGCGAAAATTTTCTCATTATTTTAGTGTTTGAGCGACAGTAAAATAGCAGCTTGCATTGAGTGCTCCCCAAAGAGCTGAATATGTTTCCAAATGTTCCTGGGTCTGTTGAGGTAGTGATAAATAGCAAAGCACGTAGAGCCTGCTTTCGATTCGGATATGTTGTCTTTAAATGTATTGTTATCTTTGTTATGTTTATTATTGACAAAGGTTTCCCTCGACATTTTTGGGTGGTTGGTTGGAGGGCACCACTTGTAGGTCCTTCTTCTTTTCTATTTTCCCTTTGTTGTTTCTGTTTTTGTCTTTCTTTCTCTTTTCCCTGATCTATATAGCCGTTCTTGTGTGGTTGTGCTTCTGTTTACTCAAACCAACTCTTCCTTTCACAGGCAAGCCGCCAAGTGCTGCTCCCCCTCCTGGCAGCGGGCCTCCCTCCGGCCCCCCACCCCCCTCAGGGGGAGGAAACAAGTTCTCTCTCAAAGCTAAAGGTGAATATGATGGCTGAGTAGTTAATGTGCTTGCCTCTAGGTGTGAAGGCTGAGTAGTTAAATCTTTATCTCTGAGATGGGTAAACCCACTACGCGGGGGCCCTTTTTTGGTACTAAATCTGAAAATGACGAAAACGTCACTAAATGGGTCATTAAATCGAAACTCGCGAACCTATTATGATAGTACTTCATCTAATGAATGAACTTTGGTAAAAGAGACCTGTTTTTGGCTATGGCTTTATCAATCAAGTGTCTCGGTTTGTCTGCTGTGGTGTTGTACCCTACCTGGCAGGGTGGAAGCAGCCTGCCTCCTAAATGATCTCAATTATGTTTGTAGGGGTGTAATATACATGTACAGTTATGACAATAGCTCTAACTGTCTCCCATGTACAGGTGTGAGGAACCAGTACGTGGACGTAAACAACCCCAAGCCCGTCTCCGTGCCCCAGGAGCTGTTCAATGTGATGGCCCCGCCCACCTCGTCAACTGCCTCACAGCAGCCACCCGCCGCCCCTCAGGTCCTTATGCCCGCCGCAGGTCAGTAGTCTGTGTGTGTAGTCTGTGTCTGAAATCTAATGTAGTTTGTGGCTGTAGTTTAGTCTAGTCTTGTTTTTGTAGTCTAGTGTAGTCTGTGTCTGCAGTCTAGTCTGTGTCTGTAGTCTAGTGTTGTCTGTGTCTGTGGTCTGTTTCTGTAGTCTAGTTTATTCTGTGTCCATAGTCTGCTTCTGTTGTCTAAGTTTATTCTGTGTCTGTGTCTAAAGTCTAACGTAGTTTGTAGCTGTAGTCTAGTACAGTGGAGTCCACTATTTCAAGTCCTGAAATAATGAGAAGTCTGTTATAAAGACACTATTCTAAAATCCCTGTTTTTTTCTTTTTCTTTATCTTTGAAAATAAAATACTGCTGTAGCGCAATCAGACAAACACACAAGTCGGTTATAGCCGAATATTGTTGCTGCTGTGCACAGCGCACAGGCCAGTTTATATGGTGCATGATATGTAAAACCTCGCCAGTTGAGAAACTTGTTGGTGATCTAGGGAAACAAAGAACGTAAGAGCCTTCGTGTGGCGACAATGAAGGCTGGAGAGAATGAGTGGAGAGGGTGTGGCATGCGCAGACAAGCAGAATGCATCGTGTGATGGGCCAGCCTAGGCTAAATGATCTAGGCTTACCATTCCTTTCACTCTCACTTCTCCGTTGCGGGGATGGAGAGGTCACAGTGCTGCGATGGATGGAGCGAATGTGTGACGTGGGCAGGGTGTGGTGTGTACCCGATGTTCGCAAGTAGGCCTACTTACTTTATTATTTCTCTTGAATTTATTACGGGATCCCTTATAACGAGAATCTTGCTATAACAGATATTTCGCACCAGTCCCCTCGCTCTCGTTATAACAGGATTCCACTGTATAGTCTTGTTTTTGTAGTCTGGTGTAGTCGTTTTTTTGTGGTCAAGCGTAGTCTGTTTGTGTCGATGTGCATCTCTTTACTCAAACAAACGAATAAGCCTGAGATTTGCTCTCAGGTGGATCTTGGCCTTCCTCTCTTTCTTTTCTCCTGGGGGTTCCATATTAGGCTTAATTGTGTCAGTGGATGTGCAAAAATTTACAATTACAATTGTCTATTCCAGGAGACTCCAACAACAGTGGTGCTTCGGAGGGCATGTTGTCTGTGCCTGGACCGGGAAATGAGGTGAGAACGCTGGTGTGTTGATCTGTCTGTCTGTTTGTTGTTGTGTCTGTCTACTTACTGTGTTTAATTTGTCTATTGTGTCTGTCTGTTAGATGAATACAAAACTGGTATGACGGTGTGTTTGTTGTTGTGTTTGTCTGATGTGTCAAGGTGTGTTTGTTGTCTGTGATGTGCAGATGATGTGTTTGTCTATGTGCTCTATCTACCATAGGCTTTGCAGACATAGAAGTTGTTCTGTGACTTACAGACTTCAACATAAGTTACGGACCACCTTGACAAACAGTACTGATTTTTACAAATCCGAAAGAAGAGAAAAGCAAGGAATGTTTCAACATTTTTTGCTCTGAAAATATTCATGGGTTACCAATACGTACTGCACAGCTTCCTAAAGGGGCAAAACCACAAAGTGCTGCATAGAAATCCTCGGAGGAATTTTTGCCAAATATGTAAGTGATCCTTAACTTATGTTGAAGTCTGTATTTCCTCCTCACTTCTCTTCAGTTGGTATTTTTTTCTCTTCTCTGGAGCGCACCCTGTTTTCAATCTACATACTGTCACAAGAACAATGAAGGGCCCCAATTTTTTTTAACTCGGCCTTGAAAGCGAGGTCAAATTTTCTTATTTTCTTCATGACGAATGTTGCTATGGCTTTGTGTTTTTTCAACTTGGACTTAAAATTCCAAACATTTTTGTCTCCCTGTAAGACTGGAGTGGTTACTTTCCTATGTGGTGTTTGTTGTCATGTGCTTGTGATGTGGGCCAGGATGGTTGGAGGGAGCAACTTGTAGGTCCTACTTCTTTCCTTCCAATTTGTTTCCCCTTTGTCAGTCTTGCTTTTCCCCAGCGCTAAATAGTATTGTGATGATGCGCCTCTGTCTACTTAAAACAAATATATCAACCCAGTGCTGCTTTGTAATCATTTCCCCAAGCAGTGCATGTGACCCTTGTCAGTTTTTGTTTATTTTACATCACAACTGACCATCAGTGATATACGCTTCCTTGTATTCTCAGTCCCCAAATTTGTCTGATGTTGATTCTGTAAATTGTGGAGAAGTGATAAGATTTTTGGGACAATTTGTTGTATTAGAATACATTAATTCTGCATTTGACTTTTGTTATTCAAAGTGGTGGCTTTTTGCCTCTTGAAAGCTTGGAGATTTTAGATATATGTTCACATTTGTAGTCCGTTTAAGCAAGTAATCTAAGTTCTTTGTAGAAAAAGGGTAGTTTAAATGCCGTCAGAGTTTTCTTATTGTGTCAGGTTCTGATGTTTTGTACACAGGAGAGAAAGGATTCTGTGGTCACAGCTGATATTTTCAGAATGTTTAGTACAGTCTTGCTTTTTCATGCAACCTACACCTGAGATACAGATTTTATAACGTTTTAATTAATGCTCACACTATGATGTGTATATGTCAGCTAATGAATTTTAAAAACTATTTAAAGTCATTTCGAGAAGCAGAGAGTACTTAGAGCGCTGTTCATATTTGTACTCTGTTCTGACTCAAACTCAAGTGTTGGGCATGATTTCCTTCCCCACATTGTTTGCAGATTATGACAAACTATAAGTCTTTGATCCATATTTGGAATTGAGTGAAAATTTATCTAAATTGATGTCGTATGCGCTTCGCTAATCATCGAGTTATTTGATCAATACCTCAAGAAGTGTTGATGTAGAAATCATGTCAGTATCGTTTTGTTTTTCATCGAGTTGTTTGATCAGTACCTCAGGAAGTGTTGGAGTAGAATTTGTGTGCATTTTTCATCATTGAGTTGTTCCCATTGTGACATTGTTAGCAGTGAGTGTTGTCGCTTTGTATTTGTCATGTTTTGTAGTGAGCCCATCATCTGAAAAGTTACATAGACCTGGGCAGTGTCTGCCTCGCTTTTTCCCCAGCACTGAATAATTGTTATTGTGTGGGTGTGCTGCACTTTACTCAAACAGAATCGCATAGTTTTGGATGGATAAAATATGGCTTTGAGCTAGTAGAACTTTGCTCGCAGATACTGTTCGTTATTTCCACATTATCGCTTCTTTCGAATATTCCGCACTTTGCATCAGAGTAATATATAGAGAATATGTCTCTCTCTGGCACTGTGTGTTGGAGTAACATAGAGAACTTGTCATTGCCCCACACTGTGGGATGTTTCTTTTGTCGCAGGGGATGTACAATTATCAACGTCAATTATTTCAGGAAACGTGTTCATTTTCTGACGTTCTGGCTTTGCTTAAGTCACGTCGTGTATAGTATCACTATAAAATTTCTGGAAACATGTTCATGTGTCAGGAAACATGTTCAGATTTCTGGCTTTGCCGAAGTCACAAGTGTGTATCATATTCAGTCGTGTTGGGAGACGCGTTCAGTTTTCTGACCTTCTGATGGAGCAGCTGTGTGTATATCTACTCTGAGGAGGACTGCTTTGAAAAAATAAATGATTATTAGTGTTGTTGTGGTGTGATGTATGATGATGATGTTGATGGAGTGTGAGGTGATGACTGTTGTGGTTACTGTTGCCGTTGCAGTTGTCACGCTCCAGTTCTGTCAGCTCTCTGGCGCAAGAAGTACAGAGTATTTTGCAAGAGGTAACCACACCCCACCCACCCCCCTCCCCGTTCCCGACCAGCATTTATAGCTTTTGCTTGATGTTGACATTTGTGCATGGCTCTGTGAAAATCCGTGGGAATGTGGATTTTTTTCTAATACAAACTTTTTTGTGTGCATATGTTTGAAAGGGCTTATCTTTCACAAGCATTTTATTCCTTTTACAATTGAGCCTTTTGCAAAAAGTTTATAGCACTTCAAAGGTCTCAGCAGTAAACAGTTATAAATTTGTGCAAAATTTGTCAGTCTGCTGAGTGTCTTCGAAATTATCTCTTAAAAATTTTAAAAATGTTTTAACTTGTATTTGAGGGAAATCCTTAAAAATTAATTATTGAAATAAAGTTGTAGTTCTATTTTTGACAATATCCCAAAATAGCCATCTGCACTTTCTGACGGGTTTTCTTGTAGCCACACACACCTTTCGTTGTTCACCTAATGACTGTCCCAATGGAACCACTGGGTCGCTTATTTGGCTCGATGTTCACCTTTTGCTGTTCACTTTTAGCTGTTCGCCAAATACAGTACCACTGAAACCACCGAAGAATGCTTTTTTTCTGTCGGCTGAAAGCTTCCATGAAAGAGTCCTTCTGTTGATGAGTAGCTGAGTACAATACCGAGCTCAAGTTCAAATTCTCCAATGTTAACTTGTTGCTTTGTTGCTATCTTTTAGTTTTAGTTATGAAATAAATCTTTATTGTTCAGATGTCCAGATGCTGGCACTTTGGTTTGGTGTTTTACCACACACACGCACACGCACACACACACATAAAGTAATCTGACTTTACCACGTCTAAAAATTGTACACATAACTTTGTGCAGTCAGTGTCGACAGACATAAGGAGAGGAAAGTTGGTTGTTGCATTTAAGCGAATACAGGCTTTAGTCCATTGGCATGTAAGACATGTTGTGAATATTGTGAAGTAAAAATTTATTTGTAATTTGATTTGGGGGGGGGTGGGGGGTGTTGTTTTTTTTCTCGATTCCAGTGGTTTCTTGGGCGCATGATAGATCTGTCCCTCTATCTCTCTATGAAGGTAGTTGCTATGATTAGAAGCTCCTGAAAGTGGAAGATCTGTGTGTGTATATTGTATACTGGTGGCCTTTGGAGGCTCACCTCTGACCTACTCAGGAGAGGTGTTTGTCTCATCGGTTGCACACATAGTTATTGTCTTTCCACTCACTTTTTGCTCTGTTCTATGTCTTGAGCTTCACTCGATAAAAGCAGTCTATCTGTTCAAGATGTTGGTTGTGTCAAATGGGGTGTAAAACATTTAAGATTAGTTTCAATACTGTTGTGGTATTCCTGAAATACCAGAGTCGGTGTCTGATGTTTTGGCTCTTCACCTTGCAAGCAAAAGACATAGGTTCGATTCCCAAACAGGGTAGACATTTTGTCTTGTACATGTTTTTGCCTTGAGGTGTATGTCCAAATTACCAATGAGGTCACAGGAACTGATCAGCACCTCTCTCTGTGGTCTTTTCCTGTTACCTACCCAAATTGGTCCCAGAATCACTCTTCTAGCCTTTAGTACATGACCCCATGAGAAATTTAAGGGGGTTGTTTTAAAAAAAATTTCTGCTCTCACCGACATCTGTGGGGCAAAAGTCAGGCTTTTCGCCATTTAATTCCTAAGTAAGGAAGTTATTTTATCGAGTGTCTTATTTGTCTGCTGAGATGCTGTGTCCCAATCATCCTGGGGGAACCCCGACGGGCAGGGTCTGGATTATGTTGATGAGGTGTAAAAATTTACAATGGATCGCTGTTTTCGGCATTGAAATGATGTGTTCAAAGTATTGTCGAAGTAGTAATGTCTTTTTTTATTAAGTGCAAAAACAGAAAGAAAGGTTTTGCTGTAGATAGAAACGTTGCATTTCAATACAAAGCATTTGTGGCTCATTTTCCTTGGACTATATCACCCATACATTCTATTCTATTATCTAACAAGCGTGCAGCTGAAACTAACTTTCTCACTCTCATATAACAGTGAAAAAACCCCAACCTAACATAGCCTCAGCTAACATAGTTTGCTTGTGCCTGTACAACATATTTATTCCATATTCGTGTATGCCTTCTTGTATCAGAGTGGATACTAACGTCTGTCTGTCTGCCTGTCTGTCTGTCTGTCTGTCTGTCTGTCTGTCTGTCTGTCTGTTTGTGTGTCTGTCTGTCTGTCTGCCTGTCTGTCTGTTTGTGTGTCTGTCTGTCTGTCTGTCTGCCTGTCTGTCTGTCTGTCTGTCTGTCTGTCTGTCTGTCTATGTCTCTCTCTCACACACACACACACACACACATCCACACACATATTACTCACAGAGTGGGTTGTGAGAGGGTGCCACTGATAGGTCCTACTATTTATTCTTTCCTTGTTTTGTTTCCGTTTTTCTGTCTTGCCTTTTTCGTCAGCTTTTACTGACTGTGATCGTATCAATGTGCTTCTCTTAACTTTGACTAAAAACTCTTTGTGTTTGAGAACAGACGTTGTCTGGGAAGGGGGGAGGGGTGCCGATGGTTAGCTCCCTTTTTCAGAAAGGAACTATCCCTGTTTTATGTTTGGTTTTGATTCATCCTTGCTGCTGTGACTAGAGCTCTATGTTTATCCATCTTGAGAAGGTGTATGGTTGTCTGTGTCCCTGACTAGAGAAGGTGTATGGTTGTCCTGACTAGAGAAGGTCTATGGTTGTCCCTGTCCCTGACTAGAGAAGGTCTATGGTTGTCTGTGTCCCTGACAAGAGAAGGTGTATGGTTGTCCTGACTAGAGAAGGTGTACGGTTGTCTGTGTCCCTGACTAGAGAAGGTCTATGGTTGTCTGTGTCCCTGACTAGAGAAGGTCTGTGGTTGTCTGTGTCCCTGACTAGAGAAAGTCTATGGTTGTCTGTGTCCCTGACTAGAGAAAGTCTATGGTTGTCGGTGTCCCTGACTAGAGAAGGTCTATGGTTGTCTGTGTCCCTGACTAGAGAAGGTCTATGGTTGTCTGTGTCACTTACTAGAGAAGGTCTATGGTTGTCTGTGTCCCGGACTAGATAAGGTCTATGGTTCTCTGTGTCCCTGACTAGAGGTCTATGGTTGTCTGTGTCCCTGACTAGAGAAGGTCTATGGTTGTCTGTGTCCCTGACTAGAGGTCTATGGTTGTCTGTGTCACTTACTAGAGAAGGTCTATGATTATCCTAACTAGAGAAGGTCTATGGTTGTCTGTGTCCCTGACTAGAGATGGTCTATGGTTGTCTGTGTCACTGCACAGTCTATCATCATCATCACCATCATTGCCTTGCTCACCCTGGATCAGGGTATAGGCCACAAACAAACATTTTCCACCTTTCCCTATCCTTGGCCAGCCTTTTGATGTTATTCCATTTGTCTTCCCACTTTTCTGTACATCAATTTTGGTGACTCTTCTCCAGGTTCCACATGGTCTTCCCCTTGATCTTTTACCTCTGTGTATTCCAATCCATCGCTTTCCTTGTTATGCAGTTGCCTGGCTTCCTGAGAGTATTTCTTGCACAGTCTATTATACTCAATTCTAAATTATACTGATGTCTGTGGTGTCGACAAGACAAGTTCAGTTCCCATACTGAAATGTTATTTTGTTCAGTTTCTCTGTGTATATATGGCGTGGTTAGGTGTTTTGCTGTTGCACGCAGGAGACCTGAGTTTGATTCCAGAGTGGGGGAGAAGTTTTTATCGAGTATCTCGGTCTTTCTGATGGGATTTTGTAGCTCTCTCAGCCTAGGTTGGCTCTGACTGGCAGGGTCGGAAGCCGGCCTCCTAAATGATATAACTTGTGTCAATGAGGCTTAAAAATACTTACATTTTAGAAAAAAATTCTGTCCGTCTGCTAGGATGCTGTATCTCTCAACCTTGGTTGGACATGGTAGGAAGGGTCACTACAGCCAGTATTCTAAGCGATATAAATTGTGTTACGGTGGGCGTTTGTTAATGTTTCTTTCAAGTGGGAATTTTGTGTGTGTGTGGGGGGGGGGGGGGGGGGTGTTGGTGGATGGGTGCTCACGTCTCTCTCTCTCTCCCACTCGCACACTCTCTCTTTCACACATTCTCTCACTCTCTCTTTCACACATTCTCTCACTCTCTCTCTCTCTCTCTCCCACTCGCACACTCTCTCTTTCACACATTCTCTCACTCTCTCACTCACACACACTCTCTCTCTTTCTCTCTGTGTAATGTAACTGTTGTCCTTTCTAACATGACAAGTCTGGTGAAACAGTAAAATGGAGAAGTTATATATTGTTGTCACCATATATAATACATTACATGTTTTTTTAATCGAATTTTGATGTGTTTTCGAATTTTGATGTGTTTTGGCCAGACTACCACAGATGGCTGTTTTAGTTGATGGCTTTGTTGATTTGTTTCGGCCTTTGTTCAGATAGTAAAGCTTGGGGGGGGGGGGGGGGGGGAATTTCGTCATCAACACATGTATCTGTCTTGTTCTTGAAGTAAAATTCTCAAGGTCACAACATAAACCTTAGTGAACTTCCATCTCGCGCCTTGGATCCTGTGGAAGCCAGTCTCTCACGTTGTGTTGAATTTATTTCTTTGCTTCATTCAAGCTTGTATTTAGCGTCTGACTTGTGGTGTTCCAAGACTTATATACTGTTGTAGACCACTAGGCTCATGACTGAAACATTGATCTGGGTCGCTGGACTTACTCAGACTTACTCATGTCATTGTCTTTATAGTTGTACCATAAATGTATCTGCCCGCTACACATGTAGGCTATAATGATTTTAAATTATAACAGTAAGTAGTGCTATAGTATAAGCCACTGGCTATGTAGGCTTCTATATCTTTCAGCAGTGACTGTTTTCACTCGTCGTGTTTGTATATAATTTTGTTTGTAAATCAGATTGAAATATATTTATACATGTACCGAGCTTGGTCAAATAGAAATCCTCAGTGACAAACACAAAAATTAAAGGGTATTAGCTGGAAGGTGAACAACAGTAATGAGGATTTTTTTCTTTAGACAAAGTGTCGTCAGTGTGGTATGGTAGGGAATATAGATCTACAGTACATTGTCACTACTGCCAGATTTGACTGATAAGATATACAAGTCTCCAAGGCCATCCATAATATCAATGGACATGCTCAGAATCAAAGACGCAAAAAAAGGAAAAAAGATGATTGTTAAAACTCAGTCCCTGCCAGCAGTAAGTCTTTCTCCATGGATAGATGTATTTGGACCTAGCTCATAATTATTTTTTTTTAAATCTTTTATTTTAAAATTTTACAATGTGTTCTTGACCCCTGGACACCTCGACCCCATAAGTGGATAAGTCATCTACAGAAGAGATATTTTCGCCTGCTGCGCTCAGATTTTCTAACAATATGTATATTTCTGCCAATGATTCTAGAGCCCAAAATGCGTCTGTGGATGGTACTTGGGCTATGTTAGTGGGATGATAATCGCAACAAATAGCATCAACGTTATGACTTCTACAGAAAAGTCAAGTCTATCTGTGGGTGGTTGGCGGGTGCTCTTGTGTGGTTTGCTTCTTCTTTCCTATCAAACATCTATTGTCTTTATCTCCCCTCCTTCTTTTTTATGTTTGTTACTCTCTTGTAATACCTCTATTCTTCGGCACTTATATGACCTTATTGTGTTGTAAATGCCGTAAAACACTTACTAAAACTAAAACAAGTCTATCTGGAATGTCTCGTTAATTTCTCCATAAGCGTCTGTACCTGAAGACTTGTCTGTTGTATTCTGATGTTTAGGCCAGTGCTAAAAAAATGTCAGTTCTTTCTCTTAAGTTTTGTTTTTTAGATCTAGGTGTGTTTACATTATCTTCAGAAGAAAGGATATAACTTGGCACTTTTTCTCTCCTTCTGCGAATTGCTTCTGCAGTTAAATTCAACCGTTATTATTGTTACAATGTTTTTCATTGTTTGTTCTGTTCGTTTCTTTTAGGAACACTATTTTTTTTTAAAGCAAATGTTTTCTCTGGCTAGTTCAATAAGTTAGTGCTGTGTCTCTGCATACTTTTCCCCAACACTAAATGAATGTTCTTGTGATACAATGTTCTTCTCTCGCAAACTGTGCTATACTAAACCGTCTCCCCTTTCTTTTCCTAATTCTCTGTACTGACAGTTATTTATTGCTGACCATCACTTTGTCTTTCTTGGTTCCATTTGACTCAAGAATCAAAAGGCCTCCAACCCTTTAAAAAAAAACCCAACAACAACAAAAAATCTCCCATGTTTCTACAAAATGAATGATTTTTGGAGTTCAAGGATGCTGGGGGGGTTTTTTTGGGGGGGGGGGGGGGTGGTCCCCCCCCAGTATTTCTGTTATTTTCACAAGAAGAATAGTTATTATTCTGTTTTCTATTTTACCCCATGTTATTAGTTGTGTCATTTAACTATCTTTTTGTTGTTGCATATTTGCAACTTTGCACATTTTCAGATATTTTCATAAAACACCCATGGGTCCAACAACTAGACTGCGGGTGCTCTGTTGTGGTTTGCTCTTTCTTTCCTATAAAAAATCTATCATCCTTATCTCTCATTCCTTACTTCCTTTTTTGGTATTTGTTACCCTCTCGTAACACTTCTAATCTTCGGCACTTATTTGGCCTATATAATTGCATTGCAAATGCCGTAAAACTCAAATAAAAACAAAATAAAACAACTAGGCGGTTCTGTCTGTCTGTCTGTCCACAGCCCCAGCCCACGGGTCAACAGCCACAGCCGCAGCAACAGCAGCAGCAGCAGCAGCCTCAAGTGCCGTCAATGCCGATGTTGTTCAACCCTGCCACCCTACAGAGCGGCAGTCAGGGCCAGGCGCTCTCATCAGCAGGGCCGGGACTCAAGTACGGACAGAGGAGGGCCTACCCCAAATGATGACGGCCTCCCCGAACTAGTTCTCTCTGTCTCTCTCCCGACAGGTTTTTGGGGGAATTAGGACCAGATTCTTTTCCATGGGTATACAAAGTGGTGATGGGTTTTAAAAAACCAGGACAAAGGTGATTTTGTTTAAATGTGTAGGCGTCCTACATTGAAATCATCGCCTCTCAAGAAAAACGAGTAGCTCCACCATTTTTTTCGCTCGTTGTGTGAAACGGGTGGAAGGGAGTTGCATCGTGTTTTTTTTTCTTCTTTCAGCAGCAACGACATGCTGTGTTGCTGTCTTGAGTTGCAGAGATATTATGAAGCTGTCGTCTGTTGTTTTGAAGAGGGAAGTGGGTTTTTTTGCTGCAGAGTGACTGTCGGCATGATGTGATTGATTCCCATGTTGTCTGGCTTGATGACGATAACACAGATGCTTGGTGAGGATATTTATCTGTAGGTTATACAGAGAGATACAGAGAGTCTTTTCAGGCTGTGGAAAATAATGTCCTGTTCAGATTTTATTTGAAGAAAGAAAAAAAAGTTATTTTAAGTCATGTTGAAGCAGCATTTATGTTTTTAATGTGACTATGAAATGTTCATAATGATAATTCAAGATGCAGGAATGTTTGTTTGTAGTACAGGACTGCCTGTGTCAGTGTGTGTGTGTCAATTATTTTTCAGCTCTATTCTGAATTTGACTTTACATTTAGAGATGCAGATAAAATAAGCAGAAAGAATTGAGAAGAAAGTTTCCGTGATGTCAGTAGATGTAAAAGTTTTTCTTTAATGTCATGAACCTTCTGAATGTGTAATGAGAATTGTATTTATCTCTGTTCATTTTCTGTGTTGCAAAAGTCTTTCGAAACATTATCTGTATTTTGTACATAGCAGCTGGGTTTGGGTTTGTGTTGTTTTTTTTCTTTTTGCGTCCTGCCTCTGGTCCCTACTGAGGGGAGGGGGTCCTATCTACCAACAGGGTCCTCACAGACTATAATATAAAACCCACTGTAGTGTGTTCAAGCTTGAGACGAGAACGGATTTGTGAGTTCTGAATGTTTTCTGACAGTGGATGCTTTGATATATATATGTTCCTACGCGGAGTGCGAGTGTGATTGGGGGGATGGGATTTGTCTTAGCTTCGCCACCACACGCTCGCATAGTTTTGTGTTGTCTTCTAACACTCCACTGTGTAGTTGTGTTGCGTGGTACATTTGTGATACATGTATAATAGGATTTACCACCACCGGCCTTGTTCTGCATGACCTTTGTGTAGGACAGACCTCGCCAACGGACACAGATCACAGTGTAGTAGGAGACGGCAGACTGGAGAAAGGCGTGTGCTTATTTATTTTGTTATAATGTTAATTTATTGTGGCCTGTTCACCCCTGGGTTTTTGTTTTTTTTGGTGTGTTTTTTGTTGTTGTTGTGTTTATGATGTGAAATGCCATAGATTGTTTTCAGTTTGAGAACTGAAAAATGACACTGTTCATCCCCTATGTGGACAATGGCTGTCTGTGTGCTCACGCCTGTTTGTATGTACATTGCACACACACACACACACACACATGCACACACACACACACACACACACATGCACACACACACACACACACACACCACACACACACACATACTCGCATACACATTATGCATACACACGCAAAGTTATTCATAATATGACCATCACTTTTGCACAGCCTTTTTGTCTCTCTGTCTGTATTCCTTTTCTCCTACTCTCCACCTTCCCACACTAGTGTAACACTCCCATCGTGTATGTCGTAAGGAACTGTTTTACTTCATGGATCATTTTGTTAGTCGTGGATCAGAGGTTTTTAAAATCTTGCTGAGGGGAGGTGAGGGCTTTTTTTTCTTTTCGTTTTCCTTTCTGTTGTCTGTTCTGAATTTGTATATTTTTGTCAGTGATTGATTGATAGAATTTGTATATTTTTGCCGAGTATTGATAGAATTTACCATGTTGTTGTGTTTCATTTTTCCTAGCTACAAGATTGTTCTTTGTACTTTTTGATTTTATTGTTGTAATGGTGAAGGGCACCTGTAGATTTATGCGCTTACTTCATGGTATTATTGGCTTGTTTGTTTGTTTTTTTTCTCCCCCTCTATTAATGTGGTTTGGCGTTTCCTCTATTTTTTTCTCACTAACTTTAGGGACGAGCAACGGTCGATAGTGTGCGTTATTCTGTCCTGTCTACAGAAGTGTCTGTTATAGTTAACTGTTTACTATTGCATGCAGAAAACGTGAGTTCAGTTCCCATGTCGTAGGAAGGTTATTCAGCCCCCACCCCACGTAAATTGGAAGTTAAAACGTCGACAATCGTTATCAGATGAAGGCCATATTGAGTACATTGTTTCCCTTCATTAGTAAGCAGTACTGGGAATATTTTACTCCTTTAGTGATTTTTTTCATTTAAGTTTGGGGAGAAAGGTCTCATTTTATTTTGTACCACTGTGGAATCGACCATTAGTAATACATTTCAGTGAGGATAAGGAAGGCAATTTTTATTCTTTCTCCATTCCCCCCCCCCAAAACCTGTAGACAGTTGTGCTCCTCTGGTGTCAGATTGGGTTAGCTGGGGGAGTTGGTAAGTTCTCAATGGTGAAGACTTTTGAAATGTGAACAAAGTAGAGCGGTACAGTCAGATAGAGAGAGAGAGACTCTTGGAGAGATACAGCGAGGCTGTTGAAGGGAGCGCCAGAAAGTGGCGAATGGGCTGGGAGAGGTCCCGGGTTGGTGTCTTCTCAAAATTGTTTCAGTGTGTGGAAACTTTTGCTCGACCAAAACAAGACCTTTTCTGAAGTAGACGGATGTTTTCTTGACTGAGACAGACAGCAGTTCTATCTAAGTGAAAGAAGAGAAGGTAAAGACAATAAACTGAGAGATATATATGCGTCAATTTGTTTGAAGGTAAAAACAAAAGGGACCGTGAGGTACATAAACATCAAATTGTTATCGGCTCTTTGGGATGGGTTTTACCGGAGGTTCCTTCATCTACCTCCAGTTTTTATATGTTGCTGTGGAGTTCTGGTCTTTTGGTGTAGCTGTGTTCTTTCCCTTTGTGCGCAGAGTCTGATGGGCTTGTTTCTACATAGAACTTTTGGTCAGGAATTTATTGACTCTACTGCTTCGGATTTTGTTCTTCTTCTTTGTTTTTGGGGTCAAATGTCCACAATGCCAAAAGACTAATAGTGGGTGGTTGGCGGGTGCTCTGGTGTGGTTTGCTTCTTGTTTCCTATGAAACATCTATCGTCTTTATCTCCCCTCCTTTAAAAAAAATTTTTTACTTTCCTGTAACACCTCTAATCTTCAGCACTTATATGACCTTATTGTGTTGCTAGTGCCGTAAAACAGGAACAAAAACTAAATAAGACTGAACTGTTTGCTGCAGCTGCCAGGTGTGTGGTGTGACCCACGTTGAATTATATTCACACGACGCAGACATCTGTCAGTTCTGTCAGCGGCCATGTCTGTTGTGAGGCAGAGGTCTTGTCGTGGCATTGTGATGGGGAGTTACATACAGGGGGCAAGCATGCTGTGTAGACTTGTTCAAGATCAATTTGGACTGTTATACTGGTGGCTGTGGTTCAAGTCCCAATACCATAAGTTATAAGTATAGTGTAAGGGGGCCCTTTTGAACTTGAGTTCTTTTAGTAAAAGTTTTCCTAGCTCTCTACCTGCTTGACTGAGTCCTGTTGCTTGTTAAAACCGTGACTCTTACAGAACCGTGTATTGTGTTGACCGGGGCATTCACCGTACGTATAATGGGCATTCATTGTATAACCTTGGATATGTGAAGAGGTCATAGGTCTCTCAAACTTTTTGACTTTTCACATCTCTTTTTGAGCTCACTGAGGTCATATTACTTGAAAGACACTGTTTTTATCTACTTTGTGTGATGTGTCTTCAATATGGTTTTCGATATTTTGTGTGCTCACTTACTATGGTTCGGTGCCATCTTGTAACCTACTTTTATTTGCTTATTTAAAGAGAGTTGTAAGTTGTAGACTCTGGTCTGAAAGAGGGTGTGTGGCGGTTTGTTTTTCACCTACTCTTCATTTTTATCCTTTGCTCAAGTCCGCCCTGTATTTGGTCTAGTGTTGGGGCTATGTCTAGAGCTGCTGCTGGATTTAGTCACTTGTACAGAGCATGGTGAAATGGTCCCATACTACCCATATATATATATATATATGTGGAGTGAAACTGAAACAAGTCTGGGACTTAAGGACATGAAATCTGTAACCTGCTTAAACTTGTTTCTGCGATATAATGTTGCTGCTCAAAGGAGACATATTTTATAGTGACCTCTGTCTCATTTGTAGCCCTGGAGGGAGGGAGAGAGAGAGGAGAGAGAGAAAGAGTATATCTGCCCTCCAATAGGCCCTTTTTTGTGTCTACTCCTGCTTAAAAACTTCAGCTCTTCTCACTTAGGACGACATCAGATCAGCTAGTTCGGAATTTTTTTTTATAAATACCATTATATACATATGATGTTGTGTCCACAGTCAGATCTTTTGTGGCTGGATAAAAGACACAATATAGCCTCCTATGTTGAAAGGCACACATCATTGCCCTATCTGCCCTTTCCCATCGCCATCTGTCAACTACCCGGCTTGTATGGTCCTGACAAAACTTTCGTAAATTTGGCCCACAATTATCACCAGCAAACTGGCCACCCAAGCCAGAGGTACACACAACACATGATGCATGGCACCCACTAGGCAGCAGTGAAAATCTCCCTTTTCTCCCACACATGACTCTACGAGGTGGTGATTGTCAATGTCACATACAGGAAGGCTGACGTGCCCACAGCCATCTCATTTGAGTTTGGAACAAAAGGAAATAGCTCATAATATTGTCCTTCATCTAGTCATGGCGGAACCATTTCCCTTCAAGTAAGCTGGGTGGTGGTGCTATTCAAAAGATGACAGCATTAAACATCGTTATACCGCCAACTTTATGCTTGACCCAAGGTTGTCGATATAACAGGACTTAGCTGTACTTTAAATTCAAGGGTCCTGCCTCTTTAAAAACCGTACAGTGGTGAAAGAGGTGTAAACTAAAACCTGTCCATATGCCAATTGGTACATTGGTAAAGGACAGGTCAATGGTTATGCAACATGTATTTTTTTTTTTTTTTTCTTATTTCAGATGTTTTTGTTTTGGTCATGTACTTCGATGAACTGTTTTTTTTCCCTTTAAAAAAAAAGATCCTTATTTATCTTCTATGTTACTATTGTCCCCGGCATTGGTGGTGTAGTGGTTAGGCGCTATATTGTAGCACGCAGAAGACATGAGTTCGATTCCTGTAACGGGAAAACTTTTATCAAATGCATTGAGTCTTTCTGCTGGGATGTTGCATCTCTGTCAGCTGAGGTTGGCCCTGATAAGCAGGGCTGAAGAAGCCTGCCTCCTAAAAGATGTAAATTATGTTGATGGGGGTGTAAAACACCTACATTTAAACCAAAAAAACCCCTCCCTACCCTTTTCTTTATCTTTTGTAAAGATAACGTGTAACAAAAATCT